ACAGGCGCCGTCTCCAAAAACATGTCTCCTGTTGAGCTGACTCTGCCAAGTTTTGCGCCTCACCACAACTCGAACCCGTGTCTAAATCATGCGCCTGATCCTCTAGCAATTGTACCTGTGCTTTGCAAGCTGCGCTCAGCTGTGTTGCATTTTGGCGAAACTTGTGACTCTGGTCATTATAGATCTTGTCTGCTGAGTTGCAAGCCTATGCAACTGATGATGGTGTCATTGCCAAGCCCGTCACACAAACGGTCAAGTCAAAGGTAGCATCGCACTGCTATTGCACTCTGCGTGAGAATGCCCGGGTCATTTGGGGTATGCCATGCCTGCAAATGGTCATGAGCATGAGAGTGCTCATCTTCAAATGAACCCTGATGCATTTTTGCACTGGTTCAGTGCTGTGTAAGAGCTGCAAGTATGAGTGTAGGTTGAGAGTTCAGTGCATGTTTCACATGTGATTGGAACCTTCCGTGTTGTTGTTTTGTTTTGTTGGGTTCAAACTTGTTGCTGAGTACCCGCTTGGGTGTTCGCGCCGGGGTACTCAGCCCTTTTCGCCCCTTGGGCTCACCAATGTGTGACTTAGTGCCAGGCTTTGACTGCCTGCCATAAAGTCAAGCCAAACAAGAACTCTCTTGTCGCGTCGGAAAGAAAGCCATCTGCAGGACTTGGTACGTAACTAGTACTTGCGTGTGAACACGAAGTTGAACGTGCCGGACTTGAGCACGAAGAAGTTGTCTCAGAGCAGAAGAAAATTCTTGCTACTCTACTGTGGAAGCATTGAAGTAGAAGGAGGCCTTGTTAGAACAGGGCAGCAAGAAGTAGATCAGCGGCGCAAAGAAAGGAAGCTGAAGAAAATGGTATTCAATGTGCAGGGAACCTTGTCGAACAAATTGAAGCGTTTGATTCAGCTAGTCACAGCATTAGCACTGATTCAAGAAGGCGAATCGGCTCAAGTGGTAGAAGAACCATGAACCATCAGGAACCAGCAGCGTGGAAGAGTTGGTGCTCATTATGTGTAGCCTTGTGATCGCCGGATTCGGAGCTGGATGGATAGTTAAAGATTGCGTTATCGTGCTCACTCTGAGCTTCATGAACAGAGTTCCTCACCAACCAGAAGTCAGCGAAGCTGAAGAAGAAGCTGAAGATGTTGAAGAAGAAGCTGAAGAAGTCACAGAAGGAACCGATGAAGAAGCTCGTGGATCAGAAGAAGCGACCCTGTTGAACCTGAACAACCAAGTGACCCTCTACGTGAAATACCTGTACCTCAAGGAGAAGCTGGAGAAGACCATGGGTGGGAAGAACAGTTAACTGCAAGGTTCGAGGAGAACGTTGCAAGGCCGGCGAGAGCAACCGCTCAAGACCCGCAACCAGCGCCTCAAGCTGTGCCAGAAGTACCACCTCCAGCAGTACCTATGGGAAATACAGGACGCAGGATCCCTCGAGTAGTTTCCTCACTACCAGGAAGAAATGTGTATCATAAGCCTCATTGTAGAGACCTGACAAAGAGCAGGCGGTATCCGATAGGACTAATTATACGAATGCCGAAGAAGCCGAAATGAACGGAGTGCGGCCAAGTAGGAACTGTCAGGCAGAACGACCTGAAAGAAGTTCACAAGAATCAGCAGTCTATGAAGAAAAGAATGAAGTGCCAAGTGCGGCGAAGAATTAGTTTGGCAGGAAGAACTTGTTTGCATGTTGTTGTTCATGTTCGCAGCCATTTTGCCCAAGCAAAGGTGGAGAATTGTGTCCAAGCATCGAAAAAGCATGGAGACTTGGATGTTGGTACTGTTTCCCATTGGAGTGATCATTGCCGAGAAGGCAGTATGGATCGCTTGGAAGAAAGTGAAGGAATGGAATTTGAAGAAGCGGATCTGGATGAAATTATGGTCCGTGTGAAGAGTGGATTTTTTTGGAACGATGCAGATCTATCTGTAAGTATTGCGGAGATGAAGCACAGCCCTGTGTGAGGACACGAAGAAACCACCAGTGTCACTCTTGTTGGACCTGTGCAGTGAAACGGGCAACGGAGTACTATCTCCGAAGATTTGATTTCTATTAAAGAAAGGAAGTTGCCTGGAGGAACTACGGAGGAAGGAAAGTTATCCGAGGACATAGTGAGCGTGGCAGAAGAAAATAATGGATAGTGGATAGTTTGGAGTAGGAAGGAAATGGAGATGGAAATGGAGATGGAAATGGAAAAAGAATAAGCTTCACCAAGAAGAGTTTTTGCGAGAGAGAGAGAAAAAGCGTGCCGACTTCTTAACTTGGACAAAGAGTACTATTTGATGTTTGGATGGAAAGTTGAATGGTTGATCAGTTGGATGATTTAGTGAATTGTTGAAGTCTGGTTTTGAGGATATTCAAACATTGAATTAGGAAACTGGAGCATATTGGCAGTTTGTTGAAGTGCATGAACCATCATGAATTGGATCATTGAAGGAGAGTCCTGAATAGTGAGAGTTGGCAGAACCACAGAAGTTTCACACTTGGAAGTTATCTCCTAAGAGAGAGATTGTAGATGGCACTAAATCTGTGTCAGTTGGAAAAGTTCGCTCTACTGTGTCGACTCATCTGATGATGAATTGGACTCTCAATCCCGTAATTGCGGGTGGAATGGTGGGTTGCACACCACTGAGAGCCATGTTGAGCCATGGAGCTCATTGGTTGTTGGGAATCAAATTCCAATCAGTTGGATTTGGATTGCCCACAGCGAACGAACTTGTAGGCAGGGTGTTAAGATATTTGACACCCATAAGACCTGTGTCAGAGCCCAATATGTTTCACACACCGCAGCGCCTTTTTCAGCTCAAGAGAAAAGTGTCTCTTTGACTTTTGCTGTTTAATTAGATTTCCACGCGCCAGCGCTCCTACCCACCGAAAACAGCGAGAGGGTAGTGGATTCCAATCAGAATTTACCGGATGCTCCACGCGCCAGCGCTCCCACCCCCCCAAACAGCGAGAGTGTTGCGATTTTAAACAGAAGTCGCAGGACGCTCCACGCGCCCGTGCTGCCACCCGCCAAAAACAGCGAGAGTGTTGCGATTCTAAACAGAATTCGCAGGACGCTCCAAGCGCCCGTGCTGCCACAGGCCAAAAACAGCGTGAGGGTCGTCGAGTCGTCGATTCCAAACAGAACCATCAAAAATCGACGTCTGGAACATTTTTTAAAAGGCGACTTGAGAAAATTTAGGGCGCGACCGAAAGGTCTGGAAAAGGAGTTTTAACCCGATTCGAGACTGAAGTCTTTTCTTCAAATTTAACGATTTTTGGGGCCTCCCGGAGACTACTTTAAAGGCAAATTGAGGAAATCCGGGGTGCCCGAAATGTTGCAGGATAAGTTGGAAGAGGAGTTTAAAGGCGATTTGAGGATCATTGTTTTCAAAATCAATGATTTTCGGAGCCCTTGGAAGACTAAAGGCGATTTGAGAAAATTGAAATGTTGCAGGATAGGTCTGGAAGAGGAGTTTGACAGCGAGTTGAGGATGATTTTATTTAGCATCAACGATTTTGGGAGCCGATTATTTTACGATCTAAAGGTGAACTGAGAAATTTCACACCTTGTACATGGACGTCACTTTGTTGGCCAGATTGGATGCAGAAAAAAGTGGATGCGCAAGTAAGTATCTGAGCATGGTGGGTTGAAACAAATCATGCAGGTTTTGCACGAAAACCTTGCAAAGATAACCAGGCTAAAACGCAGGAACCCTCGGTGAAATCAGGTGCCACAGCCTCTTCCCTCTGTTCCCACAACTGTTACAGTTGTTATCATTCCTGTTTCGATTCCCACTTTCCGGCTGCTTCCATTGGTGCAGAGGTTGGGCAAAGCCCCGCTCACTGCGAAGATGCGCACGAGGCAGCCAACTTTTTGTGTGTTGATACAATTGTCTGCAGTAACGCTTGGGAAGCGGAGAGAGAGGCGCTCCCAGCCTACGCAGACGGGGACCGCGTCGAATACTTCTCGCCTACCTGTGGCCTTTGGCTCCTCGGCGAGGCCACCAGAAAACAAGGCAATGAGGAAGGGGCTCAAGGTCTCTGCTCTGTGAGGTGTCCGTGAAAGCCGAGCCTTCCAGGAGGTGCCTGGTTGAGCGGTGGAATTCCTCCTTTGCTTGTTGTGCAGTGTTTTTGGATTGCTGCAGAAGACTCAGGCACGCACCCATGTCCTTGGCTTCAGCGTAGCATGAGTTGTTGTCCACACGCACAAGCGCGAAAACCTCACAGCCAGCCGACCTCAGCCACTCCCAGCCCACTTCAAGTCTGCCACCCAGCTCACCAGCCCACCAGCCCATCCTTTGCCATGAGTTGACTTCCTAATGTCCTCGCAGGCGGAGGCGGGGACTGCCTAAAAGGAAAAGGATGAAAAGGATGTGTTCTGGGTGAAAGCCAGGCGCCGTCCTTCCGCGAGGTTCTGGACCAGGTGCCAAGTGCCGATTTCCAAAGCCCAGAAGCTTGCAGAGCTTGCAAGATGGAGTGTTGTGACGGAGACTGAGTGCGTGAGGTGCGCGCCAAGGCCCTGGAGGGTGGCTTGCAGCTGCCGCCTCGAGTTCGTGAGGAGGAGGCCGAGGCTTCTGAGCTGGTTCCCTTCCCTGTGCATGCAGCCGTGCGCTGACAAAGCTGACTGGTAGGATGCTGCAGCCAGGCCCGGCCTTGATCTTTTTTTGCGGTGTCTTTCACTGCCTTTAGTTTTCCTGTCAGGTGCCGGGATGCCTTGCTCCTGCTGTCCAACCTATGCGAGCAGAGCGTGGAGGAACCAGGTAATGGCCAGGCCCGTTGCTTCAGAGCAGAATGCATCCAAAGCCAAAAAGCACGCGGTTCACAGGCCGACGAACTGCGGCATCTGGCCCTCACTCTGACGGCAAAACTCCTGGAGCCTCTCAGCTGCAACGCTACAATATGCCACAATGCTACAAGTGCCGGAAAGCTTCTTCGGGTTACAAGAGGGTTACATCTCTTGAGCCTAGGTCCTGCGAGAGCACAGAGCTGTCAAGCCGCTGGGACTGCACTGCTGCACTGCACTGCTGCACTGCTGTACTGCTGCACTACAACAGTTTTTTCCTCTGCTCTACTCGCTTTGTGTCACACTTGGCTGGGCACCGAGGCAAACCTTTCATTGCGGCCGTTCGTCGCTTCTTCTCGGTCTCGTTGTGCCTTGCAAGAACCCACTGAAAGAATGCTCTTCTCACAATTCATTACAAGCCCAGGACGCGGAATAGCCTGCCGCAGCCATGGCAGCATGGGAAGATGAGAGCAAAGAACACGCCTTCATACCACCTCCAAGGTCGGGAGGCTTGAAGATGACGAAGCTGGCTCTGCGACTTGTTGTGCGCCTGCTACGCTCTTCCAAGCTTGGAGTGGTTTCCTGACTGGAATTTTAGGTGGTGGTCAGCAGGATCTTTGGCGAGTCTCTCAGCACCTCGGAAGAAACAACATCTTGTAAGTGCGACAGAACGCAGCATAGTAAATCTGCACCGTTAGGTTGTGAGCTCGGCATCTTCATGGATCAGATCGTCCTCCCCGTCCTGGTGAGCGGGAACTCCAGCTATGCGCAGAAGCACTGGATGTTGCAGGCTCCGTGGATGCAATCGATACGAATCGATACGTGATGTTATTGACATAATGTTGGACCCGCTTTAGTGTGTCCGGCCCCCCCCCCAAACAATTTGAGGACCCTGAATCAAGAATTGTTTGAGGGGTCTCGGTTTTAGGAATTGGGGCTTCTTAAGCTCTGAGTTATCTGATGGATAGTAATTAACTTTTGTACAAAACTAA